TGCCTTGCCACCATGGGTCCCCAAGCTCTGGGGGCAAGATTGGTGGCTTTGTGCCAAGCTCTCTGTGGTGCAGAGTGGTGGGCAAGCTGAATCCTACCTTCACCCCTGAAAAATTTCCCCATTTCCTTCCCCCACTTCTCTGGGGATATTTTTTTGCCCCCAAACTTTTTCCTGCGCTGCGGTTTTGATCAAGGCAAACAGGAGCCCGGTTCCTGCAGAGGGGTTTGAATGTGTATTTTACAGTGAGGCGACTGAAGCTAGCAGCAAAAAGCAAGCATAAATATAGGCTCCCTCGCAGCACTTTTATATAATCGGAGCGAATGATGTCATTGGGAGGCAGAGAGGAGAGCAGGCTGTGAAATTACAGCCCTCTGCAGCCAGGCAAAGCCAAGTGCAAGGAGGGGCTGCGTGGAGCAAGGGCCAGGCTCACCACAGTGCTACTGGCTCAGGACAGAGGGCCAAGGGGCTCAGGCTTGGAGGAGGATAGTGGCGAGGAGACAGGAGATAAATAATCCGAACACAGTCCAGCTGTCCCACAGGCATGAAGTAAAGGGAGGAGGGATGGTATATGCACAGCATGCAGCAGCAGGGCTGCCGTTTCAGAGGCTGGCACTCTCTTCTACGTGGAGGCACCTGCAGCTTGTTGCATGTCGGCCGTCAGGGCTGTGGAGCTGCTGGACTTGCCCTTCGCTCTTCTGCTCCAGTCTCCTGGCCCTGGGTGCTGAGAGGCCAGTGCAACTCTTCCCGCATCAGCCCGTGGCAGAGGGGAGAGGGGGTTCTTGCTGTGCTCGCCCTCACATCCCTGAGGAACTTGCATCTAGGCTCCTTTTGGCCCCTCATCAGGGAAGAAGCAGTGAAGGCAGAGAGCCCCTGTCCTAGACAGTCCCTTTAACTCAAGAGTGGCTGGGCTGGACAGGATAAAAGGTGGTCCTCAGCTCTGTGTAGCAGAAAGGTGTGCGTCAGGCTCTGGTTTCCCTCAGCCGTTTCAGGAGCTTCACTCCGTTTCTGCCCACCCTGATGCCCCACGTGGGAACCTCAGCAGGAGCCTTCCCCCTCCCCAGGCTGAACAGAAGCAAAGGCACCGGGCTGACTCCTTGGGAGAGGAGCCCTGCTCATCAGAAGTACTCCCTGCGTCCTCTGTATGTGAGGCCGATGCTTCAGCATATCCAGTACTGTCACGTGCTCAGGATAGCATGTGGAAGCCTGTTTTTCCTGAAGCCCCTTAGACATGAGGAAGGGCTCTGGCTTCTCCCATCTCCCCTGCAGCAAGTGTACAAAGCTATGGCCTCGGCTAAAACTGGAATTCTCCTTCTGTGTTGCCCTCTATCTTCCCTGGGATCAAGACAGTGAGGCGTGTCAGCCCCTTGCACCAAGCCCAAGTTGTTTCTCTGTTATATAACAACATGGGCATTTAGACTTGTTTTTCCAGATATTGGCAGGTGTGTCAAATATTGGCATAATCCAGTGGTTTACAGGGAAAGCTGTCTGGCTCTGTCTGGAGCCTGCACAATGGTGGTATTTTCATTGAATACAAGAGCCTGCAGCATCGTCAAAACCACATTGCAACAGAGTCCAGGTTAAGAAGGGGAAAAGACATTTGCATCATGGCCTGACCTGTGGGATTACAGCTGTCCAGGTAGAGCTCCAGGACTTGATAAGAAAGAGCAATAGGTTTGTGATTCCTGTCTCTCTGGAACAGTGTGTTTTAGCTCTGTTAAATTTCTGGTGATGCTTTTGAGTTCTGATAGAGTTTTATTTCTGTGTTTTACTTAAGCCCCGATCAGTGAGTCAGACCTGCCTTTTCAGTCTTTGGTTTAAGAATGCATAATGGTCAGCTTGGGTCGCTGGAAGTTGAGAGAGGTTAGGGACTGTGGTCATGTCACATTGTGAAAGGAAAAAAAAAAAAAAGTATTATTTGAGGAGATGGGTCTTGAACATAGTGTTCTGTGCTGACTTAGGAGAGAGCTGAGGAGGGTGTTTGGTTTGATTCTGGTAAAGGAAGGCAACGTGCTCATGTGCTGGGTCAGTCTGCAGGCTAGGTAGCTCTTTGCTAACCTGACAGCATTGGATCAGGGAGTGACTGAGCAGCTCTGCCAGCATGGAGTCCTCCAGGAGCAGGAGGTGAGTAGGGCTGAAGGCCTGGCAGTGCCCAGTCTGGACCAGCCTGCACTGAGCTTAGGTCCACAGAGGTTGACCTGTGCGCAGTGTAAAGCCCTGTACCTGTCGCTGGGCTGCTGGGGTTGGAGATGTGCATGGGCTCGTGTTTGCAGTGGCAGGAACACTTGCTGTGGATCAACCCACAGCTGATGCAGCACCAAGTGTGTGGAAAGTCCAACAGTTTCTCCCAGTGGGGCAGATGTTCCCTTTGGGACCACACGTGCTGGGGAAGTAACTCTGCCTGTGTTTCCAGGGTGCTTATGAGGACAGGCTTTTTAACTCTTATGCCATCTCTGCCCTTGTCAGGGTTTGCAGAGTGCAGCTGCTTTCCTTGGTCTGCCATGGTCCTTGAGCGGAAGGGGAAGTGTTTCACTTGGTGTTTTAGTGTCTGTGATTTTTATTGTGTGGCTGGATTTTTGCATGTAGCTTTCAGCTGCTTAGCATGGTTGCTCTCACCAAGTGTATGCATGACCTAACTTTTGACATGGCAGATCCTAGTGCCGTCCTTTCAACCCAGAGCATCTCTTATGCCCTTTTGGTTGTCTTGGCAATCCAGTCTGCACTCCTTCCTGCTCAAAGCTGATCACTGGTCCCAGAAATCACTGTTCCTGGTGCAAGGCCTGTCCCTGTTCTTGATGACCATAAAAACGCCAATGCTGAGACTCAGCCCAAGGATTAGGCTGGAAATGCCTTATGCATTTCTTTCTGCATTGAGGAGGGTGCTGTGAAACGTCTGACATTAGTCATTTTATTTTCTGTTGCACACGTGATGCAGTTGCCACCATGGATTGGGAGCTACATCTTGCCCAGTGGGGTAGGGGAGGGTCTGCAGCACCTACCTCTAGCTAATGCTATATAGCAAGTCCCTTCTGAGCACAGAGCTTGGTGGATCACAGGTCAAGAAGTGCTTATGTGGAATCAGCCCTGCCCCTAAATCCCCAAATCTATGCACAGCATCCCTAACTCTGTTCAAGCTGCGTTTTTAACTTGGGCTCATCCCATAGAGGCAATGAAGCGTGGTTAGTGGTTGTACTCATGCTGTGAAGAGAGAGATGCAGCTCTGTGCTGCTTCTTGATGACTGCGCAGTGACAGCTCTGACTTGGTGAATGCTGCAGTGAAGACAAGCACCAAATGACTTGCCAGTGGCCATTCGGGGAATCTGTGGCATAATGAATAATCAGTTCTAAGACCGAGAATGGCCTTAACTGCAAGACCCTCCTCTTCCTCTCTAGATGCTAGAAGTCAGCATCCGGTCTCCCATGGGATGACATGAACTGTAGTGCCACTGCCAACTGGCAGCGCTCTTCCCTTGCTGTCCCTACAGGTCCTCCTGAGGCGTTGGGCAAAGCACCTCTAGGGGGTGTGCCCAGCTCCTGTTGATGCCTGGGAAAGAGCTGTCGGTTGAAAATGAGTCTGCAGGTAGTACAAAGACCCCATGTCAGCTCTGCGGATTAAATGTCAGTGGAGTTTGGCTGAGAATGAGCTGATGGAGGAAGAGATGAAATTGATATGGCGGTTGGGTTGTTGTTTGTTTTTGTTGTTTGTTTTTACCCAGTTTGATTTTTCTTTTTTTTTTGATTATGGTTCCCTCCTCCCCCCGGCAAGTTATTAAACGTTTAATGAAAACCACGCGTTCCTCAAGGCTCTTCCTATGTCTGTTCCAGACAGGATGATGGTCCCTTTGTAAAGAGATTTATAATAGAAACACTGAGGAGCTTAGAGCTACGGCACTGCTAGTGAACGCTCCTCTGCACTGACAGTTCATCAGCAAAACCCCTGACCCTTCCACCCTTAATCATCCTTGCTTGTCACTGACATAATTGCCTGATTACAGACTCCTCTCCCCCAGCCCTTTCAAACGGGGAGTAATAGTGAATTTGAAAAACAAGATGGAAATGAACTGTCCATGCACCTTTCCCTCCCCCCCCCTTCTCTCTTGGCATTGAGATGGATCAGGCTAAGATTCAGTTTCTTTGTGCATAAACAGGGGCTGGGATAGGCTTTAAGGACGCTTTTGCACCGGTGTTTCTTGCACCGTGAGTGGCTGGGGGTGATGTCATTGTTATTGACTGGGATGACAAGTTTGGACATAAATCATTAATGTCTGGGAAAGAGAGGGGGGGAGGGAGAAAGGCAGCTCACACTTGATAGTTTTGCATAGATCTGCTGATCGTTCCTGCATGCATGATACAAACCAGGAGAAAGCAGGCGCAGTTTTCCTGTATGTGAGCATAACACGCTTTGCCACTGCTGCCTGAACCATTTTCCCCAGGACGTGTTGCCATATTCTGTAGAAATGATGGCTCAGAGCATCAGCAGTGCTGAAATACTTGACTGTCTTTGTAGATGTGCTCCAGGGTCAAAATTTTTCCTGTGGTTAGAAGACAGCTTAGGAAAGAAACATTGCTTAGATCAGTTTGTAGCAAATGTCCCTGAACCAGCAATGCACGCACATGCACAGGGTATTAGTCATTCAAAACCCTTTCATGTATGCTCTTCTCAACACAGCAGACAACAATGATGTGAAGCCAAGGAGACTGTGTACCATTTATCTCTGTGCCTTGTCCTGCCCAAAGTTCATCCAGTTGAGTCAGATTATCAGTTCAGAGGGCAAGGATATAAACAGTGTCTGTCAGAGGTCAGCAATAGTGCTAGTATTGGTGAGCCCCTGGTGTTTGCAGAGCAAACAGTTGAATGGCAGTCTGTCCTGGTACCTGTGGGAGTCCTGTGATGTGTGGGAAGGGAGGGAAGCATGAAAAGCGTCTGGTGGGAGGGAAGCAGAAAAGGAAACGAATTCCCTTTCTGAAAACATAGCTCTGATGCTCTGCCTCTCGCCTTGCAGCCGAGCTCACCTCCGCCTGTGTCTAGAGCGCTTAAAAGTTCTGATACCGCTAGGACCAGACTGCACCAGGCACACTACGCTGGGGCTGCTGAACAAAGCCAAAGCACATATCAAGGTAAGAGCTGCTTTTCCCAGCTGCTTTCTGGGCTGTTGGAATTGCCACTCCATCACTCACTCTTGCTGCCTAGTGGTAAATCTGAGTTGAAGGAGACTAACACCTTTTATTTTTATTTTTTTTTTTTTAAACAAAGGGAGGAGGCAAAGAAAGCATTGCCCCCTTAGTAATGATAAAATGATTAACCACAAGCCGCACTGTTAGAAGAGTCTATAATGAAGTCTGTTAACGACAGAAATGATTGATTTGGAGAGCAGGGGTCTTGTTCTTTCTTGTGATCAGTTGTTGACGGCAGCAGCTCTTTAAAGATAAACGTGTCTGCTGTGGTTGACACGTCTGTGCGTTTTGATGTGGTTGTGCGTTTTGATGGGAAATGCAGCTTTTTCTGATGTGCTAGTGAGTTTCCACTGCCGAAGTGTTAATCCAGACCGCAAGAGTGGTTGGCTTCTTGGGGTTTCATCTATGATCCTGCTAGCTACATTCTTTTTGATTCACTTCTGGCAAAGTGAAGCATTAAGAGAATGCAGCATAGTCTGTATCGGGAAAAGGCTGAAATCCTTTGTCACAGCTCGGGATAGTGGGAGGGAGGGAGGATGGTGAAAGAGAGAGAGCACTGCCGAAGGGAGACAGGGTTAGCCTGAAATGACTCCCTTCTTATGCAATGTGCTTGCCATAGAAAACAAAGAACAGTGCCCTGGTAGATTTCCCAGCTGTGATCAAAGAAATCTGTAGTATGTTACATAAATAACTTTTAAAAAAACCTGTTTCTGAGAAGTCCTACTAAACCATGCAGCAAGGAACGCACAGCTCCCAGGACATGTTTTTGTGTTACGGTGGATCATAACAAATACTGAATCAGTTTGCATGAGGGAATTGAGGGCCCCTTTGTGGACAGATTTGGTATCGCAGCTGGCTAACCCACGTGGAACAACCCATGTACTGCTACAATTCAAGTAGTTTACATTAGAGATGCTGTGTCCTCAAAGCCTTTTTATGCCAATGCGTATGACTTAGCAGGACTTGTGGAACTGGCAAAGCTATGAGGAGATGGCATGGTCACTGGACACTGGAAGGCGGCTTGGTTCAGTGATCTTTTGCAGCATAAATCCTTCTGGAACCTGGGAAGGTCTAAGCAAAGCATGTGGCTGGGCAACGGAGGTGGGAGGGAAGGAGAAAAGGATGAAAATAATTCTTGAAACATATTTGGTCACGTCAGAAACTTGAAGAGGCTGAGAGGAAAAGCCAACACCAGCTTGAGAACCTGGAACGAGAACAAAGGTTCCTAAAGAGAAGACTGGAGCAGCTACAGGGTCCTCAGGAGATAGAGCGAATACGAATGGACAGCATTGGATCTACCATTTCCTCTGACCGCTCAGACTCGGAGCGAGGTGGGTATCACTGAACTAGCAGCGAGTCTGCAAGACTCTGGGAAGTGGGAGCATGAGATCCGTCCATTTTCTGTCTTTCAGCTACCCCCTTCTCTGTGGACTTTAATTACTATTTAAGTCACTGATTTTTATGTATGCACACCCATATATTTTATTCTTATTTTGCATCAGCTCTGATTAAGTCTGGAGGAAGTGTTATTGTTGACTCAAGCTTATTCCTGTGGCATTTAAAGTGACAGATTCTCTGAACAGCTCTCTAAAATACCAAAATGTAAGATAAGAAAAATAACTACCTGTGATCACGAGTTGGTAACTAAATACCTAATAGTATCCAGGTATTCATTATCTGGTATCTGTTATGCTCTTTTGTCTACTATATCTCTCTGCAATATAAAGAGAAAGCAAGAAGATATTACTAGTTTCTAGCTCGAAAATAAAGGGCGTATCTACATAAGTGTTTTAGTACTGATCAAGAGTACGCTTTTGAAATGAATCTCCTGATCACCGCCGCTTTGGCTGACAGCATGGAGGGGTTGTAAAGCCATTAGAGGGGGTTCTTTGTGGCCGAAACTAAATTAGACATGCTCAATGTGCTGAGGTACTTTCAGTCCACAAGACCAGAACAGAATCAGTCCAAAGTAAAACCCTCTGAACTGGGGACACTGGGATCATGGCACCAGTCGTTTCAGCAGGTAGAGCCGTGCTACTTGCTAATGCAGGCATGGCTGGGATGTGGTGTTCCTCATCCTGGATACCCTCTGTAGAGGGTTTAGATGGGAGTGGAGCGGATAGCGCAAAGCAATATCCAGCTCTCCATTCTGTCCAGTTAGTTTCATGTATTGGGCCTACCATGGTATAACCAAGCGAACAGAATCAAGCAAATTGCCTTTTAAAATTCCTGGAGTCTTTCTGAACTCCCCCGTCCCTCCCCAAGCTTCCCAGACAATTGTTCTCAGTTAAAACCAGATAAAGATGGTCTGGACAGCTAGTAATGAATTCAGATTAGTTTCTCCTTTTGAAACATCTCCACTGTAGATCCCAGTTAGGCACAATAGATGATTTGATATTTACTAATAGATGCAAGGGTGTTCCAGGGTTTGGGTTTGAGTCTGCAGGTTTAAAAAAAATCTTTTTGGAAAGTTCCAAAGTGCCATAGGAACCAAGATACATTGACTGAATAGATCTCTGCTTTCTAAGTTTTGCTTGAAAGTAAAATTTAGGCTCTTAAGTCCACTTAGCATCTCTTGCAAGTAGTCCCATTTCCCCATGGTAATGCATTTTAATGCCCCATATGAGTGATCCCAGCTTTGGCAAAGTGGTACCACGCCAGTAGCATGTTACAAGCATAACTTCATGCTGTGTTTTCTCTACTCGCTGTTTTATGAATCTCTTCTTGTTTCCATCACTGGGGTAATGGAGCTCCAAAGAAAGAGGTAGAGTGACAAGTTCAGTGCGTGGTGTGGCACACCCATGCTGGCAATGTGGACTGCATGCTGGAGGAGTCAAAACCCTTAGCCGAGTCCCTAAGAGAATCTCTGAGCTGGTATCTTGTCTCTTTATAAAGCGTGTCCACAGTTTATCCTGCTTCAAGGGAGATTGCTGAAAGCCGTTTTGCCTGTTTGCTGCTTCGTTCCTGACCGGGGGAGTCATGGCAGCTCAGTGGCTTGAAGGGGGCAGTTGGGTTTGGTGGTACTAACCTCTGTGTGTTTCTCTTATTTCTCTTTTTAGAAGAGATTGAAGTGGACGTTGAAAGCACAGAGTTCTCCCATGGAGAAGTGGACAATATCAGCACAACCAGCATCAGTGACATTGACGATCACAGCAGCTTGCAGAGTATTGGGAGTGACGAGGGTTACTCCAGCGCCAGTGTCAAGCTCTCGTTCGCTTCCTAGAACCAAGTGAGATGACAGTGCAGGGTGAATGATTTCACTGGGGTGATCGAGCTGGGTCCTAGATGCCGGTATCCTCTTTCAGAAACGACATATTGGCCGCTAGTCCTGGAGAGACCTGTAAATAAAGCCTCCTGGGTAAAGGAAGCCTCCACAGAAACCCAAATACGTGTTCATTTGGTCATGTTACC